GATGTTCTTTTAATTCCATGATAAAAATGAAGCACCTCATTTTTTTCTTTTCATTCTGACTCTGAATCAAAATTTTATTGGATAATATTACTGCAGTTGCTATCCTCAGGCCAGCTGATGGAGCTCTGCAGGATATCTGGTCTCTGAGCAAGCTCTGGAGGTATGAATTACATTAGATGTTATTAAATACAGGTTGTAGTTCTGTAGGAATCCATCAAAGTATCTGGAGAACAGGGATGTATGGAATGAGAAACATTGATTATGCATGTAAGAAAGCAATAGAGATCTCAGAGCTTGAGCATCTGAATAAGGATGTGCCAAATCACAGCCTTATGTTGTGATGTGTTCTTGTATTCCCTGTTTGGCTTGGCCTGTGGAGTGTATTGCTGTAATGGTATGTGGTATCGAGGCTGTGTTAAGCCTTTATTATTAAACTCTTATAACTCCAGTGGGACTGACAGTTTGTGGTTTCTCAGGACCACTTCCAAAGCAGCACGCAATCATGTTGTTTTTCTTGGGGAAGTTACTTTATTGCTGAAGTCTGGTTTTGCAAAAAAGAAAAGTTATTGGTTCAACTTCTTTGGTTTCCAATAGGTTGAGACAAATATCTACAAATCCTTGCAGGGAGAATCTGTAAAAAGCAATAAAAAGTTAGTGGCTTCTCAGAGGGACTTACTATAAAAATCTTAACTGAAATTTTGAAAGAGCACTTAGGTAAACATACAGTTATGTACAGTTCTTGTTTGAATGTGGATTATATTTGCAGTTCTCATTATGTGTTGCCACTGCTTGTATATTGCATTTTCTTCAATGATGAAATCAAAGTAAGGCTAGTATTTGTACTGGAAATGAATCCATGTATTTGTTCCTACATGATTTTAAGAACTTGACGCAATTGGGCTTTTAAGAGCTGTTTCCATACATCTCTTCAGTGCAGTACCCATGTTAAACGTTTATCTAGTGATGTGCATGGAGTATGAAACTTAGATGTTTTTCAGCATGGCTTTGTTTGTCTCCTACAAGTCTGCAGTTTGTTGGTGAGGATCATCACTCATATGTGAATATTCAAATCTTTGTTTATTTTTCTGTTTCGAAACCAGAGTACTGGAAAAGATACAGCAATGTGTTACAAGTAGCAGTTAAATACTAGTTTGGTGTCCAGAAATGCCCCGAGCTAGGATGCTCAATATATGCAGCAAGATGGGTGATTTAGTTTGTCTGTCTTGGGGTCAGGGGAGAGTGGTGCACAGTTATCCCTGAGAAAGATAAGGGGTTAGCAACATTTGAAATGCATCCCTTGCCTTGAAACACAATCAACCTGGATGTCTTAGCTGGAGTGTGGTGTAAGTGCAACAATAAATGTAGTCATCACAGATTTGGTTGCAGGTGGGTTTTTTTGAGGTTTGGTTTCTGGTTTTGTTTTTTTTTCTTTTACTACAGAACAGACTTGTGCAAGTTCAGTTGTGTTCCTTTGAAGGTACATTCAGCTCTGGGTCCTGTGTGGACCATTGTTGGAAATGAGTTTAAATTTGTTTCCAGAGCAGCACTGAGGGTCTTTGCAGAGTCTCTCTTCGAGCTCCTTTTTCCTGAATGAAATGGAATCCCTGTGTTGGTTTCACAGCAGTGGAACAGGGTCTCATGCAGCACTCCTCCACACTCCAAGGGGGCTGTGATGGAGTGCATTCAGGTAGTCCTGCACAGCACTGTTTTGTGGGGGGTGATGGAGCACATTTGTATATTGGTCCAATTTTTGATGCTCTAACTGGATGGCGGGAGTGAGGAGAAAGTGACCCAGAGCATTGGTCCCAGTACAACTTAAACCCAAAGCTGACACAAAGTGACCCAAAGCAACTCTGCAATCTGGCTGGTGAGGTCTCAGTCATCATCATTCCTGGCACTGAGTGCCTTCTAAATTGAGTGAGTGCTTGTGCTGTCTTTACTTCTTCTGATGGATTGGATAAGATCCAGAGTTACATTTGGATTTTGCTATATCTTGTTGTTTTGGTTTTTTTCCTTTTCTTTTTTAAGCTGCTAGATCCACTGAAAAAAAAAAGATTGTAGTTAACATGAAAACAGATGTAAAAGACTGGCACTGTGGTGTGTGCAGCCTTAAGCTGTACATATTGGCAAGTTACTGTGTGTCAGATTTCATGATTTAGGCATAAAGGCTGCCCTTCAGTTAAGGCAGGAGGACAAAAATTTAAGCTTGTTTATGGAAATAGGTATCTGAAAGGTTGGGGACTGCTCCTTCAGGCACAAACACTTCCTGGCACCTAAAGCAAGGGTGCATGTAGGTGGGTATGTTTTACATTGTATCTTAGTGAGTTTTGAAAGATAAAGCCTTTGAAGATTGCCTTTGAAAGGTAGATCACACTCTGAGGCTTGGGGAAAGGCACTGGGCACAGACAGAGCTGCCACTTTATCTCAGCAAGAGAGACCCCCTAGAAAGTCAGGAGGATTTTGAACTGAGCGATGACTGGAAGAGATTTGAAAATAGAAGCAAAGAAACTTTTCTTCTTATGTTTGTGGAAGCAGAACTCAGTGTATTTGCAAGTAAATCGTCTTGCTTTAAAGAAATGTTTGTCTCCATCAACTTCTGACAGAAATAACCTGTACCTCTGAATTTGGATGTGAGTAGCTTTTTGGGGTAGAAGAAAGGTGACATATTGTTATCTTCTCAGCTTTCTTCAGGTTTACAGTTTCTGCACTTTTGGAGTGCTAATACCAGAAATAAAACATAGTGTTTTAATAAAGGTCCATGTTTAGTGAAATTACTTCTGGAGTTCTAGGTGGAGTTGACTATAATACAGGTTATTCACAGTGAATTTGATTAGTTGAAACGAATAGTAGCATGAAGGACTGGATTGGAAAAGGGAGCTCTTAATCTGCTTGTAAATTGTTGGGTTTTTTTAATATGAGGAAGATAATGTTCTCAGTTAAGGGAATGAAACATTATACTATTTTGTGGGTTGCAATAATGTTATTAATCTGGTGCTTGCAGTGCTTTTCAGCCATTCTTAGATAAGTCCTAATATTTCATGTGCAGTGTTTGAATGTAAAATATATTTCAGGAAAATTAACAGCTTTTAAATTTGACATTAACTACAAAGCAGTACTTTATGTTGATAAAAATCTCAATAGTTTTTAAAAAGTAGAACCCCACAGAGATACTTTAAAATTGATGACAAATGAAGTTAATGCAGTTAAAATGAATTAAACTCCTTGCTATTTAGAATAATATAATGATGTCTGAATTTTATTCCCAAAAGAGGAAATACAGTTGTTAAGTCCAGATGGATTTTTATTTTTGTTGGAGTCAGTTTTGAGACTAGTAATATCTTCTTTTTAATTTTTTTTATGTTACTACCATAATGCTGGATCCAAAACAGCACAGACCTCCTTTTTCTAAATTCTTTTAAACTCAGTCAAATTAACAGTCCTTTATTAAAATGACAGTGTTTATTTTGAAAATTAGCAGTTTCATATTGCACTTTTAAAAGTTGGAAAATAAGCTCCGGGATAATGTAAAATATAGAGAAGCCAAAGGCTCAGTCCTGTGTCAAGTTATTTTCAGCTCTAACATGTTAACTGCCTGTGACTGCAGCCTGCCTAAATTTCAAGTGGTGCAGCAGGAGGTTAAACTCTTCAGCAGGCCAAGTCTTCTTGTGCTCGAGCTTTTTGCCTTGCACTGAGGGCTTGCACCTTGGCAGCCTTTGTGGTGCTGGAAAGGATGTGAGATGAGTTGATCACATCTGAAACCTGAGTGACAATGAGAAATGTCAGAGGACAGTCCGCTTGTTTAGGTGAAGATGAAAGGCAGTTCAGCTACTGCTGTGTCAGTTTAAAGCTTCTCAGGCCATGAAATTATTAATCCTATTGTGGTGGTTTGTTCTTTTCTGTGTTTTGCCCATTGGCAATTTGTCTCTAAGTTCTGGGCCCTATTTTGCTCCACTGATAGGAGAATAGAATTTGGTAGTCTTTCTCCTTCATTTAGGACTTCCATGAAAATAGATGGCAAACCAGGAGGCTTTCTACCAAAATAAATCTTGGTTTGTCTCAAACAAGCATAAAGCTAGGGGAAAGCCCCATTATTGAGCATGATGACATAATGCAACTCCACTTGGAACAGAATATCAAATTATTACTGATAATTTTGCAAACAAATTCTAGGTTGGAAGGGTCCTATATGAGGAAAATTAATGATTTATAAAGGGGTCTGGATCATGGGATGAGCTGAGTGCAAGCAGGCACTAAGGGTTTCTATGTGGCCAGATGTTGTATATATGAAAACTGTGGTCTTTAAACCACAGTTGAAGCAAAGCATCATATGAAACAGTGACTAAAAGTGTTAGTCATTAACTGGTGAGCAAGAGTTGCCACTGCAGTCATGAATAAAAGCATTGTTGTGATTCCAAGATAGAAAAATAAAAGGGTATCAAGTAGAGAGGTTATATTTTCTTGATGCTTGGCACATGTGTTGCATATAGTGCAAAGGTGAAAAGATACTGATGAATTGAAATGTATTGAGTTGGAAGCCACTACTTCACTGTGAGTAAAGATGTGGGAAACATGGTGAGCATGGAGTGCAAGGAGCACAAAGTGCTTGGCTTACCAAACCATGTCAGGGAAGAACTGATCATAAAAGGCAAGTCCCCCAAGTGGGGACAAAATATTGGGAATACATTTGATAAGAAACAGCTCTCTAGGCCAGCAATCAAAGCACGTTATTATTCAGTTGACCAAGCTTATTAGACATAAAATTAATTTCTTTTCAATGAATTGTGGCTATTTCATTGGTTAACAGCACTGTGATTTACTGCATACTCCGTTGTTCTGCCTTTGCTAGGTGCCTGTTGTTTTGTCTGGTTGGTGAAGAAGTTGTTCTGCTTCCTGGCAGAAGGGAACACAAGGAATTGCTTAAGCAAAATAACAAAAAAATGTTACAGCAAGAAATGCTGCTGAAAAAAAGGGGAAAATGAACTTGTACTCTTGTGTTACAGATTCAGTGGTTCTTTCCTTTGACTCCGTTGGACATACAATAGGCTCAGGTACAACATTGCCTTCTTCTCTATCTCCCACCTCATGACAAGGCTTCTACTTAACTGGACATGGTAGCCATGTTGGGAGGCAGGACACTGAGTCCGACTTCTGTGGGAATCAACCACCTAGACAAAGGGTAAATAGGTCCTTTCCTAAGTGCAGTGGGAGTTAAGAGCCTTAGTACGACACGAGGATTAACCCACAGGACTCTTCCCTTACCCAGTGAGGAAACGACCTGGACACGTGTTGATGATGCAGTTTGTGCTCCTCTTCTCATGTGAAAGGCATTAAGATGATGTCATCTACCAGCTGAAGAAAAACTATTTCATGCTACTAGGATAGTTTCCCAGCTAAACAAACAGTTGAGTTATTTGGGGAAAGACATGAAGAATGCTTCCAGGAAGGAGAAGACGAAAGAAGTCATAACTAAACCAATAGGGCTGGAAACTTTTTTTTTTTTGGGTGGAGATTGACCAGCATTGTTGAACCCCAGGGCAAATCCTTCCCAATCTCATTTTGTTTGGAACCTAAGCATGAGCTACAATTAAACTGAACCAGAAATTAAAAATTCTTTTGTTCTGGGGGCACTTCACTAGATCAGTAACTCTCCATTTGGCTGTGTGTAATGTGCAAGCTGCAGCCAAGGCATGCCATAGTGAGCATGATCCTTGATGAAATTCAGTATATGTAATGATATATGAAGTGCAAGGGAAAGGCTAAGAATTGCTCTCATAACTTTAAACCCCTTAACACTTAAAATAGGGGGATATTTATTGTCTTCCACAAAAAGACAATTGCTTGCATTTTTATGTTTTATCTTGCTTGCCAGCCTTTCCTCTTAGGTTGATAGGGGGAACATGCTGCCTTCCAACATAGCACCTGTCTTCTGCCTGCACACTTTGAAAGAGAACCTGCTGCCTGACACTAACATCGAAGCTTGAACACACATCTGATTTACTAACCCCTGAACTAGTGGTAGTAACTTACTTTGTTTAAAACACCTCAAACTTTTTCTACTCTCCCTGTACCTCCTCTAAAACTTATATCTGGAAACAGATCTATTCTTAGTGCATGATCTGATGTGGGAGTATCTCTAGGGTGCCAGATGGATATGTTGTTGTGTATATGGGGGGAAGAAACCTTCTATTAACTCTCTCTTACTAATTAATGTCTCACAAGTGAAGTGTGTTGTTGCCTCTCTCCTGTATTGGGTGGTGGTCTTTTCAGTCTGCAAAATAGGGCGGAAGTTGCATAGGTTTGAGATAACCTTGCTTGAATTTTAACCACAGATTTTGTGTCTATGGAGCTAACCATAAATGTTTCCACCAATAGAAAGTAAACTTAGTGGTGAAAAATAGTTCAACTGCTCAACAGGAGTTCTGTTAATATGGAGGGTGGGAGACAGGCTCATGTGAGCCATTGGACTGCCTGGGTCTGTTTTAAAAGAACTGGTCTTTGTTCTGCTTGCATTTTACAGCTTAAGCTTGGATTGGTTAGGAACTGAGACAGTAACACTTGATCTTTTGTAAACCCTTTCACTGCAACAAGACTGACTTCCTTCATTGAAGAAATGTGAAGAAAACTCATATATTTGGGAAGGGAGGCTCAGAAATGCCCGAGAAAGCTGTATGTTTATTGCTTTTATGTTTAGTGCTTTGCACTTACTGTGCTGCAAGCTTCACCTTGCTCTGAACTGGTATATTTAATAAGATGACAAGATGTGTGATATCTGTCCAACTGAGGGATAGCTTTCCTTGTTGAACAGGAAGGAGAGAGAGAAAAACTGTGGCTATTGTGCTTCCGCTGTCCATCCCATCTCACCTTGCTGCAGACCCAGGAAAAGACAGAGCCCAGAAAGAACCCACAGAAACCATGGCAGCTCCAGGCCCAGCCATTCCCAGTAGGTGATGTTTCAGATAAAGTTACATGCTTTGAAACATAAAATTACATATACTTTTTCTTTATTAGTCAAAACCAGCTGAGAATAATAGTCTCCCTGTTAAGATTTAATGCTGCTTAAAACTGGTACTTATATTTGCATATTAAACAGCTTAGAAGTGCTTTTTAGTACCCGTTAATCATGCCATGTGAAGGGCAATGTCTTTTTGCAGTTTCTGTATCATACTTCATTTGACTGTTTGTCCTTATCTTGGCTTTCCCCTTAACTTTGTCCCACATGCAAGTCTCAGTTTTCAGAAGTGCTGGAAATCTGTCCTTGTGCAACTCAGATTAATGACACTGTCTAGGTTTTTCTGGATAAACTTTCTGAACTGAGAGTTCAGAAGCTCATCTGGCTATGGAGCTTTAATGTAATGCTTCATAGGAGGGTTCATTGGGTAGAGGGCATGCGAGCCCAATGTGTTTTGAGTGAGGCTGAACCATGAGGTTCATGCTCTGGTCCAACCTTTACAAGCCCAGATGTTTTTGTAATTCTCTTCATGGCTGTCTATTCTCTTAAAAGATAAAGCTTGAACAGCTGAGATAAGTGTTTGATCTTATGTCTAGGCCAGTGTTTCAGCTGAAACCATTTCAGAAAGAAGGGAATCTTCTCTGAAGCTGGGGAAACAATCAAACACAGGGTATTTGAGCAGACCTAGATTTCATTCACTTGCCATAGACAGCTAGTGCTCCTTTTATTTTTTTCTTTCCTCTCCAGTTGCTTTGTTTTACTTTGTTGCTACCAAATCAAACATTGGACCTTGAAAGTTAGATTTATACCCCTGCTATTTTTGTTCAAGACTTTTTCCTACCTCCTGTGTCTGACAGCAAGCTAAATTTTTCTTCTCTAAGCCTTGGATACAAGTGCACTGGATGTGCAAGTTTCCCAGATGCTACTGAGCTTGCTGAAAATACTGAATACCTTTGGGCTGTAGGCTTATGCTCTTGTTAGACAGGTTTGATTGCAGTATTGACCACTGATTCATAGCAGATGTTCTCACTTGCAGGCTTAAAAGGTGCTAGTTCCAACATTACAAGCAACCAAGCGTTATCTAGGTCTTGCTCAAATTGTTTGCATGTATTAACTGTTCTGAATTCCCAAATTGTGCTTCTGAAAGCCCACATTTAAGACCATGCTTCCAAATGCTGATTTCACACTTATAGTGGAGTAATCATCTGAAAATTTAAATCTGTGCTTATTTTGGAGTTTGCTGTTAGTGATTCCTTAAATCAAAGTCCATAACCATTTTGGGAAAAGCTGTGAGAACCATGAAGGAAGCTTTCTGTGTTTCATTCAGCTGCTGAAGATGCTCAGATAATCATTGTGTGAAGGATGAGAATAGCCCTGTCTGTCCTACCAAATACAACTCCAGAGTGAATTTGGTGACTACTTGTCTACGTTTTGGATGGAGACTAGTATGGATGGAGGCAAGGAATAGAAATGCAACTGAATGAGGTATCAAATGGGTAGAGTAGTGATAGATTGCTAGCATAAGAGTAAAACATTGGTGACTTGCAGAAGATTCCTTGCTGTTTATTTGATTTCTCAATGATACTCTGATAGTACAAATGTCTACAGTTGCAAACTCTGATATTTCCTGGATTTTCAGGTCAGTGGTAATTAACTTTAGGTGTTCTTGGTTTGAGGAAAGCAACTTTAATTAAAGTTTGGAGCTAAAATGTGGTTTTAGCATGTTGGAGTTTTCCACCCAAATTGCATTTCCGTCCGAGCACTATGTGATAACGATGTGAAATGAGAACTTACTATGCTGTATATTTTTTCATTCCTGTTAAGGCAGAAAGAAAAAAGGAAAATACATGTATTTTCTCTGCTGGTTTTGGTGGCTTTTTAAGTGCAGAAATGCTTTTTCCTTTTCATTTTTGATTAATGAAATTCTACTTCATTCTTTATTTTTCTGAGGGTAGACTGTGGGAGCTGTTTGAATCTTTGCCAGTGACTGTCATGATGCAGTTTTGTAGTCCTTATGTGACTTTGCCAGTGTGTTCAGTATCATCATCTGTTGTCTTATTAATGCTCTGTTCCTCCAGTTGAAAATACAGCTGTGAATGATTTTGAGGTGCAAATGTTAAGAAGTGGCTTAATGAATGCCTCAAATTAAAAGTATTTCAATGTGATTTTTGTCTCCCATGTGACATCTCTGCACCAAATCAGCACATCTTGTAAGTCACTAAAAGCCAATATAGATTACTGTTTTGTTAATATTGTTCTCGACTTTTATTAGGAAATATGATAACATTTATAGAATATAGAGTATGTTGGGAGACTCAGGGCAGCATTAACTCCATTTGCCAAGTGGACTCATGGCAGTAAATGGAACAACTGTTCAGCAAAGGCTGTAGTCTTGACTTGAAAATGATTACTTCCTGGGAAAAGCAAAAGGGCACATGCAGATCATAGGAGGAAATTTTTCATCTTCCTATTGGAGTTTTTCTTAAATTCAGCTTAAAGCAGTTAGTTGCTTTTCTACCATTGGAGGTTACAATAGTTTTATTGAGATGTGTAGATGTAGATTGGTGAGGTGAGCTTCTGGTGCTGGGCTGCAAGTGCTGGGCACTTCGCTTCACAGGGGTCACTTCTGCTCCTGCTGTGATTGTTACAGAGCAGGGAAAGGTACCAGGGACTGGGCTTTGTTTTCTTGGTGTTTTCCTTGATGTCACTTGGCAACCTGGAGAAAAAGGCTGGGAAGTTTGTATGCAAAAGTGTGAGAGGGGGTGAAGAGGAAGCTGAAACATAGACCTGCATGCAGACCACGCAGGGCTGTGCTGAGAAGCCCAGGTGGCCTCAGCTTTACCACTCCTGAACTTGCCTTTGCAGTCTTCTTTATTCCCAGGTTATTTAAATAGAAGGTAATATTTTCATTAGCAAATTCCATCACTGAAGAGGTTAAAGTGAAAATCCTAAGGAAAGGATGCAATATTAAGTCTTTGTTTATCCAGTACTTTGATTGTTGCTCAGTAGTCCTGACTGCTATTTTTCTAACCTTGGAATAAAAGCTTTCTTTTGTCTTTTTCAGCTGATCCATTTAACATTACTTTTTTGCATTAATTCTTTCTTGTCTCTTGAGTTCTAGAAGAATTATTTTACATCGGCTGAACTTTTAGAACTGTCCATATGTGTTTTCTTAGTCAAAGGTGAATATGATGTTTGGCCTTTTTCATTGCAGAATAAGTTATTTTACTTGTGACATTTGCTGCAGATGTAGAACTTGCATGTGAATGGTGACCAGGGCTTGGCTCATATGGATCCTCAGTTCTGCAGAGACCAAACTGCACTGGACAGGATGAAATGTATCAGGGTGGTCTGACCATCCTTGATAGGACTTCTGTCTCTTGAGAATCATACTGATTTCTTTGACAAACACAAACATTTTGAATAAAATAGAGAAATTGAATCTTCTGCCTTCCTTCCTGTACTTGCAATTGCCAATTAAACACAGAGCTAGAACTACATATAACCTGTCCTTTAAAAAAAATTAATTTTCTGTTTCTGTAGGCAAAGTTATTTGTGCTGTGCTTCTGAGTAACTGGCTGCTAAAAGGGTTAGCACTCAAGGATTAGTATCAGTGAAATTGGTTACAGGTAGCTTGAAATGATAAAACCACTATGCCAAGTTAATTCCTGGATTGTTGATTTCAGATTAGTAGCATACAGAGAAAATTTTGCCCATTTTGCTTCTATATAGCTATACTGGCTGCAAATGCAAAAGGCAACTTGAGTACTTGCTAGATACTGTACACTGGACTTTATGGCTTCCTGGGTGGTCTGCATGGAGTTTTCAGACATGAGACAATGCATCTCTCACTTGCAGCCCGGTAGCTGGATTTCTGTTGTATTCTTTGGAGGAATTTCCATGCTAATGCCAACGTTGGATTTGGCACAGGATTTGCATAATTTATAGAAATTGCTATGCTTGGCTCTATTTCTGTTCTTGTAATCCCAATTACATGCTTTATTATGAAATAGTTGTCAGTTCTTAGATTCTTATTCAGTTCTGATCTTCCTGGAAATGTAGAAATGCATTTTGGTTTTGACCTAAGATGACCTCTTGTTCTTGTGATGCAACATGGTGCATGATGAAACTTCATTTCCCATGTTTGTTCATTTCTGTGCACTGTTGTACCACACTGTCAGCTGAGATCTGTAGGTCCTTAGCAAAGGTGATTGTGATCTTGAGAATGACTTGTGCTTTTCTAATATCTTATCTTTCATGGGCCTTTCAGTCTTCTGTGGGCTGATAATAAAGTCTTGTTCAGATTACTCCATGTTCTTTCGAGGGATGCAAACTAAGTTCTTTATTACCTTTACTCATCTTTTGCTTTAAAAGCAGATCCTGTGCCTCAGAGCCATAGAGGTGTCTGGTCTGGAATTGGGTGGGTCAGACATGACCTGGGCTGGATCAGACCTACCAACATGCTTGAATGTGAAGGGAGTTCTCCAGATTGTACCTGTGAGTGGTTCTGAATTGTCCTTCATTGTCCTTCAGTGCCCTTCAGTGCAGAGATCTCCTAATGATTGGAGTGCTGGGGGAGGATTATCATGATGATGTTGGTGGAGGCCAACATCAAACCACACTTAACATGGCCAGCTGGTCCAAGCTGATCTTTGGTGGTCAAGTCTTTTTACTTTGTTCTCTCTAAGTTTTTGTTATACTTTCTCTAATATTACAGCACTTCTTTATCCCACTACATGAAGAAGAGGAGAAATATTTCTGTATATCAGGTGGTTAACTTTGTGAGTAAAGCTTTAAACTAAGGTTATGGGAGGAGGAAGCAACCTGTAAGGGCACAGAGGTGGCATGAGTGCCAAGGCAGGCTATTGCCACCTCTATTTTCAATGGAGGAAAAGGTAGGAATGGGATTGCTCCTTTCTTGAGCTGTGTGATCAGTTCAGTTCCTCTCCTGTAATTGTCACACCCTGACCAAACTGTATTTTAGATTCAATTGTACTTTGATTGTGTGGATCTGTGTTTCATCTTATGTATCTAAGTTTTAACTTAGATACGTAACTCCAGACAAGGATTGCCTTTTCCTGCAGCTAGGCTCTGTCTGTGGCTTTCTTCAGATATTTGGGACTTTTATCTCTCTTTTGTGAATCCAGGCAACTTCCAGCCAGCATGTGGGCAGACTTTTAGCCCCTGTATTTGTAGTGATACAGCTAAATGACCCTGGAAGTCTGTAGCAAGACTCCAATTTTTTGCTAAAAGGAAGATAACTTTGAATCTGTAATTTTGGAGGGTCCTAGTGTCTCTCCTGGGGAAACAGCATGTGGTAGAGATTGATTTCTAAGTGAATAGTAATGCTAACTTCCAAGTGTGCCCATGAGGGTGAGGTGGCCCATGGTGAGGGAAGCATTTCTCTGCCTGCACTAGCTTGCACAAGAGGAAGGGGCATGGATGCTTCTGGTTTGATGTTACAGCCTGAAACTGTACTTACACCCTACTGAAAATCAAGAACATACCTCTGCAGCTGGCTTGAAACCAGATATGTTGTTTTGTAATACTTGGTTTTGGAAATGCCTGTTGCAAGGAAATGCAAAGTAGTTTCAGTGAACCTGAAAACGTAAAGCCTAGGGAAAGTGAAACAGTTGTGACAAACAGAAGATAAATCTTGTGAAACATTGCAGTAGAGGTCTGTCCTTAGTGTTTAACTCATGTATGTGTTCTGGTGCTTTGGTTGCAAAGCTGATGAAGTGTTGAGTTAATAGAAAATCCAGGATGTTGTTGTAGTTATGAGGTGATGTATCTCTTATTGCATTTCCTCTTTTTGTATTTCCTGTTGGGAAGAAGGGAATGTTGGTTTAAATGAGATAAGACTAATGACAGATAGGTCAGTGGCTATAGATGATTAAAAAAAAGAGTTATTAAAAAAATTCTTTTTGGTTGTTTGCTTAGTGCAGATGTTAGTTTTGGGAGTCAGAAGGGTTAATAAAAATTGAAGGAATGTTTCTTTTTATGGAGTGGATACCTTCCTATGCACAATCCTACTGGCAGAGGGAGTGAGGTTGTACAGGACACAAGTTCTTGTGGGAGGAAGAAATTATGTGAAAGAAATTATGAGGAAAGCAGCACATGGGGGAAACAGAACTGTCAGTATGTGAAGAGTGGAGGAGAGATGCACAGGTGCAGTGGGGATGGTGGGTGGCACTCGGGTGCTGGCAGGGAACAGACAGTATGTGCCAATATCAAGCGTGCACGTGTTCTGCAGCTTCTGTTACCTAAGTGATGTCAAATAGAATACTTCCCTTGGCTCAGGAATTAAATCTTAATGGGATTGAAACCAATGGCACAGTTTACATTGACATATCTGGTGCAATCATTGTGTCTGAGGTACGTGTTTAGGCTTGGCTGTTCTGCTGGTAAATGAGAGTGAAAAGCTGGTGATCTTCAGAGTTAAACTACTGCACCAGAAATTCCAGGGGTGTCTCATGAGAAAAGTAATCTTCTATTTCCAATGAGGTCTTTCTGAAAGCTTATGAGAATTTTTTTTCTTGTTTCTTTTAATCTCTGATTGGGTTATCTTTTACTTCTCTGTATTTTTTTTTATTGTATAGCTGTGAGACCTAGGGGTCCTCAGTGTGAGGAGACCCTTGAGCTTAACCCAGTGCAAGAAGAACACTGCACCTTTTCCATGTGTATCTCATGTGAATTCTAATAATTTTATTTTTTGTATCCATTGTTTGATTTACAACATCACAGTATATTCAGGGATGCTGAATAGAAAGCTTATTTGTACATGAATTGCAGATTTTCTGAGTTATTTTGTTTCTGTAGCTGTCCCCTGTTTGTGGCATAAACTGTGGCATAAAGTTTTTTCCCACTAATAAAGTGGGAAAAAACTTTCTCCTGAAGAAGAGCTGCTTGATTATGAACTCGTGGATAATTTTATTTTTTGTATCCATTGTTTGATTTACAAGATCACAGTATATTCAGGAATGCTGAATGGAAAGCTTATTTGTACATGAGTTGCAGATTTTCTGAGTTATTTTCTTTCTGTAACTGTCCCCTGTTTGTGGCATAAACTGTTTGTGGCATAAAGTTTTTTCCACTAAGAAAGTGGGGAAAAAACTTTCTCTTGAAGAAGAGCTGCTTGATTATGAACTCAGGGGTTGGAATAGACAAGGAATGAAGAAAAATTTCAAAGCTCTATGCATCAGAACTAAGGAGGAATGTTTTTCATACAGTTTATTGTCAAAATTATTTGTACAGCAAGCAGGAAAGCTTTGTTTATCACTGCATAAGTGGTTTCAGTAATACTTTTTATCACTCTGGATAGCTTGCTTAATTCTAGTGATTTCTGAATTAATGGTTACCCATGTGTTGTCTTGCTGTGGTATTTCCTGGAGACTGAGAAATGTTAATTTGGGAATACCTTGAAGTAACAATAATCTGTATTAACAGCTGCTATAAGGACTTGCTGCTGTTCAGTTTTGGTGCCTTTTGCAGAGGAGACTCTTGCAGCTTTTATGATATTGTGTCCTATGCTTTTGTTTTCCAGAATACGACAAACTTGGATTTCTCCTGAACCTGGACTCAAAATTGTAAGTAGAACAGTGGGATTCTTCTTCATTTCTGTAGTTACAGTTTTTTGTTGTAACAACTTTAATGTCACCTGGGCAGCTGGCTCACTAAACTCTGCACTTCTTCCTGGGACACCCAAGTCCTGCAACAACCTGGCAATTACAACTCCTTTCCTTGCACTAGGCTTTGCAGGCTAGCTTGGATTGTGGTTCACTGTCATTAATTCCTTAATAACTGATCAGGAGTCTATAAATACCCACTTGAAGCCACAACTGTCAGTCTGCTCTAGATATCCTTCTCTTAACGTTCCAAATGAAAAATGAATTACAGATGTGAAAGCAGAAGAATTGTGAAGCCACAATTTGTTGGGATGCTTAGGAGTTTATATTTCCTCTTTACTTGCTCCTTTAGATATCCTTCTCTTAACGTTCCAAATGAAAAATGAATTACAGATGTGAAAGCATCTGAAAATTTGTTGGGATGCTTAGGAGTTCATATTTCCTTTCTACTTGCTCCTTAAAAAATGGATACTCCTATTTTTGTTGATAAAATAGAGCGGAAAGAAGCTCAGCACAAGGCGCAGACCTCTTGCTATGTCAGAAGGAGGATTCAGTGTTGAAGGATGAAGATGTTTCTCATGCTTTTTGCCTTAAATCAGTCGAATTGAGCCTGGGCTGCCGAACACTAGGGGTCAGTAGCGACCCTGTTTCTGGGGTCAGCAACCTGACAGAATTTTTTTTGGTGTTGGGAGCAAAAACACTACTAAAAGACTTCTGAAAAAGGACCAGAACCAATCTCGTGGCTTTGAATGACTTGAGAATACATCCCCTGCACAGCATGTCATGTCAATATAAACCCCATTCTTAATGTTTTGAAAATATCATTGTACTTATAGGGTGAAACAATTCAGTTTAGTGATGATGAGCAGCCTGTGAGCTTCCATAATGGAATAAAAGTATCTTAAGTGTGTTGGGAACTGCTGCTTGCAGGAGATAATAAAGTTTCTAGGTAGGAGCTTATTTTGCAAAAGCAGCTATAACATATGGCAAAAAGATTGCAGAATGCATATGAGAATGAAGGAGTATTGATTATTTGTTTATTAATTTTCCTTCAAAGGCTCTGTATATCATTCAGTGATCAGGAGGGATAGCGTTGAGTGCATGAATAGCTCAAGGTTTCTTTCTGGTCTCATTCAATGTAGTGTTCCATGCAGTTTTTGTTGCATGCTGTCTGGAACCCCTGCTGGTGGCACAGTTACCCATTTTCTTTGTTAAATTTCTGTGTTGGGACATCCTAGTGATTCAGGGGCAATAGTGTGTGTACCCATACAACACTGTGGGATGATATTCATATGATACATTACCTTCAATTTATACATGTAGAAGTCAAAGCAAAAAGATGAATCCAAAATTGTGAAGTGGGTAAAGTAACCTTTGAGTGAATGTCTGAGTGTTGGAGAGGGAAGATGTTTTTTTAAGTTTTTAACTAGACTGATTTTTTTTTCAGGCTATTTTTGTGTATTTTGTAATGTCCAATTTATTGAACACGCCGCTGACTGTCCACACACAGTTGTCATCCCAGTCTGTGCTGCATCCAAACCACTGCTTCAGTCTTCCTTCTCCTTCCTTCTCCTTTTCATTTTGCTTTTAGCAAATTTCTTGAGTCTTTCTTCCTCTCAGGCCTCTGTTCCATTCTTTTCCCCCTTCTTTGCTGACTTACCTGTTTGATTACAGCTCTCCAAGGTACGGTCTGCTTTTTCTTATTCTTCAGCATGAGGCCAAGTGAAGTTTTTACCTGCTAGAGGGCTTCCAGAGCACTGATTTATTTTCCTAAAACCTACCCATTATAAAAACTCTCCATTGATTTGATTGAAATGGGATTTTGTTGACTACTTAAAAATATATGTTTATATAGTACTCTAAATATGCATATTTATTTTTCAAAATCCTAAATTTAGCTTCTAGAAAGACTTGTAACAAAATCAGCATGAATAAAATAAATACTACAAGTTAAGTTAAGAAAAAGAAGGTAAGTACTATATGTAGGTGGAATAACTTCTTTTAAAACTGGAGCTTTGTTAGGTGTGGTGGGTTTTTTCTTTCTCCTTTTTTTTTTCCCTTTTTGTTGTGGCTTATTTTTTCTTCTGTAGAATTAAAGCTGATCCTGCTTTGAGAATAGAGCTGATGACCTGCAGACTTCACTTCTGGCATGAATAATTCTGGATTTTTTGTTTTTTCTTTTTAATAGCATGGAAGACAGAAAATGGCTGAAAATGCCATAAAACATAGGAAATAAATTTTGAAAGAAAAATGGCTGGAAAATAGTCTAGAGGACTTTGCTACCATTCTACAAGTTCACATTTTGTGGTCAGAAATTTTGTGATACCAAATTTCTAAGTACAGACTGAATTCAGTGGGACTTAGTGGTTAAAAATACTTGTTGTGACTGAGTCAAGATGGTACCATCAAAGAAGCACTTTCTGGTTAAAAAAATGCTTTGAGTTGAAAGGGGTAATATGTTCTGCACTGATGACTTTATTGGCAGAAATAATTGAATTGTGTCTGTTGTTGTGATATAATCGTTCTGGTGGAATCTTACCATAAATCATAACTTTATAGGGTTCACTTAATTGGCAGCATGTGAGAATCTTGTGTGACTTGAAGCACTTAGGGCAACAATTAGTTTTCTTTGGATTTTTCTTCTTAATCTTTAATTTGTGCAAAACCTGTTGCTGGCTGTGTTAGTTGATGTCATTGAAACTAATGGCCCATTAGACTAACATTTTCTACAAAGGTAGATCTGTATTACACCTTAAGTGCTCTGACTTGCATTTTGAATGTCATTCAAAGGAAAACATTTGACATAAATAAGTAGTAATGTGTCCGTTTGCCTTTGCATCTTTAGTTTTTTTGTGCATTGCTACTTTAATGTCCTGTACCCTGCAGTTTTCCAGGGCTGTTATTCAGATATAGTACAGTCTGCTGTGGTTACAGGAATGTAATGGTTTTGTTCTCTCTGAATTCATGGAAATGCTAATGAAACCAGATTTGTTCCCTTTAGAAGGAATTCTGTCAGAAGCACTTGAGTAGTGTTTTCTGTGGGAGCTGTGTGTGTGATAAATGCCTTGCTGTAATTAGGGAGGCTGGCATGGACAGGAATCTCACCTGTGAGGAGATGGCCACTTTCAAAGATGCTGTATGGAGGCTTCATGGAAATGACAGCCTCTGACCAGTCTTGTTAGAAAGAAGAAGATTAAGATGTAAGATGCTTCCTTTCTGGTGCCTGAGCCTAGGAAAGCTCTTCTCTAGAAAGTCTAACAGCTTTTAAAGGGCAGAATGTTATCCATGTGAGGATTCTTAATGACACCCAGGGTGAATGGAAAGATGAGGACCTCCATAGACAATGCAGTTTATGAATGAGTTGTTCTCTTAGTCAAAACAAGTCAAAATAAGTCTCCTTAGGACCAGGTTAGTGAAAAAGATCTGTTGCAAGAGGAAGTTATCTTTTAGTTATGTTTGTAATAAGCATAACATCATTACCAGAATTAGAATATCAAAACAAAATATGCACTAAGTATAGGAACAGGCTAGTTGCATCTGTTTCTCCCTGCTAAAGAGTTTTCCCGAGCAGCAGGAACCTATTTAAAACCTGTAAGGATAACATTTGCTGGTTGTGTAGAGAAAAACACACAAAAACTTCGATACAGCTCACAGATTTTCATTTTCAGGGGGGCAATAGTTCCTGAACAACTTAAGGCTATCAATCACTTTAGTGACTCAGCCAGTGGATTACTGGGTGCCACCAAACGCCAAGATTTGCAGTCACTTCTAACATCTGTGCTTGGCAACAAGTTGCATGCTTTTGTTATTATTAAATATTTATATTGTAGTAGTTCTTTGAGACTGGCCAGGTCTTAGAAACAAGAGTCTCATTCACTACAAATTCTGAATCATTCCCCAAGCAGAATCCATGTTTGCATTGAATTAAATGAGATTTCTGAAGGAGGATCATGAACGTGGAGTTAATTATAGACTGTATTTAATGCTGATTAAGTGGGCCAAGCTGAAGGTTGTATTGTCATTCTTCTGTCACTTAGTACTCTCTGAATGCTTGGTTTAGTCACCTTAATGACTGCTTTGAGTCTGCCTTGGCAGATTGCAAGTATAGATTCACTTGTGTTGAGCATATGAAAAGTTCCTTTTTTGTAACCCATGTCATTTGCGGGCTTCTCCCTTGCGTTGTGCTTCTGTGCCACCTTTCCTTCCTGCTCTGTTGCTGTGTCATTCCTCAGTGGGATGGAAGCTTAGTGACTGCTTCTGCCCCTCTTTCAAGCTCATCCTTCAGAATCTACTTGCATAGAGACTTCAGCAGGTACATTGGGGGTTTGATGCTTCTAAACAGAGAACAGTTCCCCTTAGGAACTTGGTAGATCTTTTCGCCTTGTGCCATAGTCAGTTCAGAACCTTGGATGTCAAAATCTCAGCTGATGAATGATGGAAAATTCATCCCAGGGTTTGACTCTGACTGGGGAAGAACCAGTCCCTCATAAAGTTTAACAAATGTTAGGAGATACACGTGAGTTTCATGGAATCATTTTGCTCTTAAAACAGGGGGTCTTATAATTTTCTTTCAAGGTAGGAATAGGAAAAATAAAAAGTTGTTGCCCCTCTCAGTTGGAAAAATGGTTGTAAGATCACTATGGTTAATCACAATAACATAATATTAACATATGTGAGTACACTCTATTAATTATATGATATATATTTTGTATTGGTACGTGTTTTGTATTGTGTACTTTGGGAATCTTTAGGCAGAACTTAACTAAAAGAAGGAATATAATTTTCCAATAGGCTTTGTATTTTGCTAGACATTTTGTAATGTTGTGTATTTACATATTTCTTCTTTATTATAGAATAGATTGGGAAGGTGCAACAAAGATATTTTTGAATATTCATGATGATTTCAACTTTGTGTTAAAAAGAAAAGAGAAAGAAATTGCGTCTTACCGGGGGTGGGGGGA